AATACAGCAATGGATGTGAGTGGGCAAAGCTGCTCTGTAAGACAGGGTGGGGTCATTGAAGCCATTTTAAAAAGAGAAAACAAAAGAAAACCTCAGGCATTTGAATATGCTAAATACACATCCAATTATTAATTCTAAAGACCTCTACAAATCAACCTAGATGAAGCTTTTTTCACCTTTTTCCTGCCTCTTTTCCCCTTCTCCGAAACATTTAGACCTACCCTATGGCAATGACTACTGGGAAGTCTCTGCCCTGTATATCAGGGTAGCACAAATAATTCAGCATAAAGCAGCCCAGTTGCTGTAGCTTGGCATTAGGATAAGTATATCTTAAGAAAGTTCTTATGCAGACTTGGCTTCAGGCAATAAAACGTCATAGACGTGTAACTGTAGTGAGCGAAATTTCTAGGGAGCAAATTAGGCTGAAAACATCTTCTAGAGACAGCTAGAAAGGAATTGTACACCACCCCAAAATAAGGCAAGTTATGCAGTAAATGTTTCATTTATTGGCCTTCTTCCATTACTATTAGGGTTAAAAGACATCTTGTCAATAAGAAAAGTATATTTATGGAGGACTGATGTCTTTCAGAAAGCTGTTCCTGTCACAAATGCCTATAGCAGTGGTAATCGGCTTATGAAGGCAGGTGATGAAACCCTGTACAGATGCATATATCTCCCCATTAACCCTTGGATCATCAGGTATTATTGTCACTTTATTACCCGGACCTGTTATTAGCTGAAGCAAGGTGATCAAGCCCCGCACTTCAGAAAAATGTCAGAACAGAAGAGTGTTCGTCAGGGTTTCAAGGGGGAGAGAGTGTATGTCTCTCCAAGTCCCTTCACGGAGTCGTTGGGGGGATAGAGGATGCCTGTGAAGTGGGAGCTTTTGCCTAACCCTTCCTCTTGCTAAATTTGAAAACTCTTGGGTGTCCAATTTTTAACGTTCCTATGTTGGCTAAGGGAGTAGCTTTCCTCAAGGTCCAAATAAGGAACCATCACCCACACAGAACAAAAAGCAAACAGAAAATCTCACAGTGGAATCAGGACTTTGGCTTCTAAACATTTCCCCATTTTATAGCTTCCTTATGTTTTCAGATTCTTTTTTTGGCTTCCCTTAGCACACTCCCGGCATAGATAAGTCCAACACAGTGGGGTAACAGATCATCCATCTTGGAGCCCAGATCTTTAAAGAAAAATCACACAGGAACACAAATACACACACCCACACATGTACATATCACTGTCAAGGGTAACTTAGTAGAATCTTGCTGAGAGATTGGGGGAGCCGAATATGGTTGTCAACATGTATTCCCCACTTCGGGTAAATCTGACAGACTAGCCTTGTTTTTCTGAAATTCCAGAGCCAAGCTTTCAATATGGTTTGTCTTCTTTGCTGGTGTGCGTGAATCTCTGAGCCATAACTGGGGCGTGTGGTGAAACGATGGAATCATGGACTCTTTGAATATTAACAGGCAATTTAAAAAAGCCCATTCCAACCACCTCATCCACCAGGTGAGACAAGACGAAGGTGACACAGCCTGTGGCCTGCCTATTTCTGCAGTCCCGTCAGGCACAGGCACAGGCACAGGCACAGGCACAGGCACAGGCACTGTATTTCAGTGGGCACCGAACACTTCACCATATCTCCCCTGCGGGGGAACCAACCCTTAAAAGGTGATTTGTGTAAACCAAAACCTCCTTTTCATGCTCATTGATAGGGATGAACAAGGAAGCACCTCTGGAAGAGGTGACCCTACTCACTTAAGCTTTAAGGTATCAACATGTATCCATAGAGATGTAATCAAGGGAGGGCTGAAGGAGAGGAGAAAACAGAAGAGAAGCAGCAGAAGGGCAGTGGATGAAGAGGGCGAGGTCAAAGTCAGGGAGGCCTAGGAACAGCTACTTACAGTTCGGAACCTGGACTGGTGCCAGGAATGGACTCCAAGGGGCGAGGGCCCAGTTTCTCCCTGCCCTCCCCCCAAAATATGCAGAGACCAAACTGGACTCCAAGGGATGAGGGCACAGCCTCTCCTCCATTCCACCCATTTCCCAACATGCAGAGCCCATGGTGGCAAAATCCCCTGGCTCAGGCTAAAGTCAGAACTGGTCTGGTTTCCTGTGTTTTTCGAATCTCTGCCATTTGGGCAGAACTCTTGGTCCTATAAACCAGGAGTCATCAGTATCCACAGAGAAGTTGCCTCAGCACTTGGACCCAAGTCAACTGTGTTTAAAATTTCACACCAAATCTATAAATTACACATCCACATTGTGGGCCAGCCTACCTTTTTTTCAAATAGTATTCAAGGTATTTTTCAATACCTTGCTGCTTGGGTACTGCAGTGCCAATTCTGCCATTCCCTCCCCCTCCTCAATTCAGGCATCACCTGAGGGACTTGCAGAGCATCAGGGATCTCGCCCCTCTGAAATCTTGCTGGTCTACTCAAGCCTTTGTATGGCACCAAGTAACGAAATTAAATGTGGGACATGCACTATCACAGAATAACTTTTTAATTGCTTAATTAAATCAGAGATTTAAGGAAGGAAAGACTCAAAAGAGTTCCCTTTGAATGAGAAAAATAAGGATATGCCAAAATGGATAAAGTTACTAATCATCGGAACAAAGCCCTTAGTATTTACATATGATAAAAATGCAGGCCAGTATAGTAAAATCAGTAAGTACATTCTTTAAAATTTCAGTTCAGTATATTCCAGAGATTACATTATACAGGTAGTACTATAAAGGACATAGAAGACCTCATTACCCAACTTAATTCAGACGAGGGTTTCATTAAAATAGCAAAACGAAACAAAAAACTACCACACAGGACAAAGAAATTGCCATAAAATTGAGTTCCTATAAATGTGTTCCAGTTTAAGTAAGTCAGTCCCTAAAATGAGCCTTAGGAAAGTCTACGCTGCATAAAGACAGACTTGGGCACATCAAGAATACAGGTGACAATTAGCAAGTGTGTAAAGCTTGGTCATTTCACTAAATGTGTCAATCTAAAGGTAACCAAGTAAAAGACCTAAAAAAGGAAACTGTTAAATCCATTTGTACATGGATTTTTGACAGTGAAGCATTTCATTCTTCATGTTTTCACTTGGTGTCTTGAAATAATCCCCTTTCTGTCTCCACTCTCCCTCTTAGACACTGCGCCCGCCTTATTTATTTATGAAGTCTGAAGGTTAGTCCTACCTGCTGAGACTAATTAGCCCTGTGCTTTGTATCCTATGCAATCCTGTCTGATTAAATGTACACATTTGTTTTACTTCTTTTCAGGCTCCTTCTCACTCTACTTCTGATATTCTGATTAATATGAAAGTTGGGAGTTACAGTGATTCTTCTCTGCCTGCCCCCCAACCCATTTTCATTTTGCCTGCATATTCTTTAGTGTGCAAATGTGGTTGTGAATTTTTTCCAGTGCAGGGGAATTCGTTGGCCTTGTCAATCTCGGTATCATTATTTTTAGTAGTCTTCTTTCTGAGCCTTTAGCCTATAAAACAGTTTTGCTGGCACCCCAAACTCTCTAAATATTACATGGCAAATTTGCTTTCTTTTGGAAACCTTGGTGCTGATGGGCCAGCTGAAGTGCAGGTGAGCTTTTTCAGGGAAGGGTGGGATAACAGTACATCCTGGACTTAGACTAATACTGCTCCTAAGAGGCAATTTGCTAAATCCTACTGATTTATTTATTTTCTTTTTTCTCTTTTTCATGTTGCAGTGTCCAGTCTACTTCTTACTGGATATTTGCAAAAATGAATCTTCTTGCTGTATCACCCAGGCACATTGTGTTTTGGGAGGTGGGCCTTTCCTCTTTAACATAATTCCATTCCCCATTTTGTAGCAAATCAGTCTGCTCCTCCTCTAATACCTGAAAGTCAACAAATACCTGCCTCAAGCCCCAGGTTTCCCATCTTCTCCCAGAGGTCTTCTAGCATTGGTTTGGTTAGCAATTTCCTGCCAGAGCCACCTACATCTTGATTATTTTGGTCAGTCTTTCGGGGATTTCATTTCAGACCCCCTTCGAGAAACACTGTAGCCCAACTGATCCCAGGGGCTGGTGAACTTTCGGTTTTATTTTCCCTGACGGTGTTAACGCCCAAACTTTTCACCTCCGAAGTCAAAAAGGACTTTGACTCTAGCTCATTTCCTACTACCTCCAACGTCAGTTTAAAAAAAAAAAAAAAAAAAAAGCAAAACACCACTCTACATTTAAAAGAATCATATATTATTCCTTCAGGGTACTTTTAATGTTTCTGACATTTAATATTTGTTTTTTGCATAAAAAGTCATTTCGGCATATTCATCCTAGTGGGACTTAACATTTCATGAAATGATCCACTACTAATAAACAAAAAAGGGAGGAGGGAGGCCTCATGGGTTAATAGTTTCTTTCATTGTAGATGACCAGGAACTTTGACCAGCCCCTTCACTTCCCCAAGCTCTCTGAAAGTGGAGGGTTGATCTTTCCTTTTGACCACTTCTGTTCATCCCGCCCAAGTGTGGCTGATTTCACTGCTGAATTAACCACCAAGCACCCCCCCACCCCCGCCCCCAGCCACCACTTTCTCACAATACTACCCTTCCTTTTCCCCCTCCCTTAAGATTTATTTCTAATATTTCTAAAGTGCACTTTTTTGGGCCTCTCCCCATCCCCGCCCCCCAAGTGGGCTTTCCTTCCGCCTTCCTCGGCTCGGATTCCTGACTTGGTCGCCACCCCCTTCTCCTCCTCTCCCACCCCGCATTGTCTTTCTGAAACCGCCCCCACCCGGAGCGAGTCCCTGCACCCTCGCCCAGAATCCCGGGCTCGCACACACTCCGCGCAGGCCGCTCCCCCTGCACACTCCTCCCTCCGTCTCCCCCCGGCTTCCCCGCCCCTCTCCTCCTCCTCCTCTCCCTCCTCCCTCTCCCGGCGCCCGAAAGGATCATTGTTAGCCGCCCCCGCCCCGCCCACCCCGGCTGTTTATTTATGCACACGTCACCGGGCCGGCCCCGCCCTCCGGCATCTCATTAAGGCAGTGTGTTCCTCTCGCCCTGTCAATAATCTCCGCTCCCAGACTACTCCGTTCCTCCGGATTTCGATCCCCCTTTTTCTATCTGTCAATCAGCGCCGCCTTTGAACTGAAAAGCTCTCAGTCTAACTTCAACTCACTCAAATCCGAGCGGCACGAGCACCTCCTGTATCTTCGGCTTCCCCCCCCTTTGCTCTTTATATCTGACTTCTTGTTGTTGTTTTTTTTTTTTTACCCCCCTTTTTTATTTATTATTTTTTGCACATTGATCGGATCCTTGGGAACGAGAGAAAAAAGAAACCCAAACTCACGCGTGCAGAAGATCTCCCCCCCCTTCCCCTCCCCTCCTCCCTCTTTTCCCCTCCCCAGGAGAAAAAGACCCCCAAGCAGAAAAAAAGTTCACCTTGGACTCGTCTTTTTCTTGCAATATTTTTTTTGGGGGGCAAAACTTTTTGGGGGTGATTTTTTTTTTTTGGCTTTTCTTCCTCCTTCATTTTTCTTCCAAAATTGCTGCTGGTGGGTGAAAAAAAATGCCGCAGCTGAACGGCGGTGGAGGGGATGACCTAGGCGCCAACGACGAACTGATTTCCTTCAAAGACGAGGGCGAACAGGAGGAGAAGAGCTCCGAAAACTCCTCGGCAGAGAGGGATTTAGCTGATGTCAAATCGTCTCTAGTCAATGAATCAGAAACGAATCAAAACAGCTCCTCCGATTCCGAGGTAAGAAAAGCCCCTCGGGCTGGTGGGGTTTTTTCTCTGTTTCCTGGGCTTGGCAAATGTTGCTGAAAGGGGAGAAATCGGGGCTGGGGGCGGCGGCGGGGCCCGGCGGGCGGCGTGTGCGTGCGATGCCACCATTGCAAAAACTTGTAACCCTGTTTTTTCTACCCCCCCCCGACCTCGCCGATTCTTTTTCTCCCTCTTCTCCCCCTTCTGCGTGGCGTTTGCCCCTCGCCCTCCCCACCTCCACCCCTCCGGGAAGGCGGAAAGACGGCCTCCGCCTCGCTCCGAAAGTTTCCGAGATAAATCCCGGGAAAGTTTGGAAGAAGGTGAGTACGCCCCGCGCGCCCCGCAGCCGCCCGGAGCCGCCCCCCGGGCCGGCCGCCCCGCGCGCCCCGGCCCCGCGCCCGGCTCGGCCCGGCCCTGCGCCGGCCCGGCCGGGGCGCCCAGCCCCTCGGGGCACTTTCTAAAAAGTTTCTCCTCGCTCTCTCCCGCTCCGCGCGGCCGCCGCCGTCCCCTCGCCGCCCCGCCATGTTAGCGGCCAAGAGGCAAGATGGAGGGCTCTTTAAGGGGCCACCGTATCCCGGCTACCCCTTCATCATGATCCCCGACCTGACGAGCCCCTACCTCCCCAACGGATCGCTCTCGCCCACCGCCCGAACCGTAAGTGCCTCCGCGCCCGGCCCCCGCCCGCTGCCCGCCCGCCCGCGCCGCCCGCCGGGCCCCGCATGCGGCCCCTGCCCTGCCCCCTCCCCGCCTCCCCCTCCCCGCCTCCTCCCCTCCCTCCCTCCCCTCCCCCGCTCGTGGCCCAGGCGGCCCGAAACTCTCCAAACTTTTCTGCCTTTTGTGGACTGGATTTGTTTGCACTTCGCCACGTTCTTGCTTTCAGTTTGCTGCCTCGTGATGTTGGGGAGACCTCTCTGTCCAAGCAGGGCTTTGTTGGTGGGGCGGGGGTGGGAAATCCGAATAACTTTTCTTTTGCGCTCTGGTTCCCCCTCCCCCTTTGGTGGTGGTGTTTGTTTCTTCACCCTGGGAAGATGACTGTGTGGCTCTTTCTTTGCTCTCTCTCCCTCTCTCTCCTTCTCTTCCTTCCCTCTTCTGTGGCGTCTTGGGCTTTCCCCGGTTAACCCCTTGGCTGCCGCTGCGGTCCCCGAGTGACTGTGCTGCGCCCGACGCGCGGGGTAGAGAGTGGGTTTCCTTCAGGCGTTGGACTTGAGAACTGGCTAGCGCGCAGAGCCGGGGGCCCTGGAGAGGCTCCTTGGCTTTCTTTTGGGCGGCTATGTATTTACCTCTCTAGTGGCAATCTCTGGCTCTCGGCCCTCCTTCCCCCTTCCCCTGGAAGGTCACACTTCCCAGATTGGTCCCACCGCAAACTTGGGGGCTCTGAGGCGTCCTTTTCTTTGGCGACCCGCAGGGCCGCGAGCGCCCTGGGCGCCGTGGCGGGCTCGGCTGCCCGGCGCGCTGGCTGCGGGCTCTCCCGGGCCGCGCAGGGCAGCCGGGCTGAGTGGGGCGGGGAGGCCCCTGCGGCCCGGATTCTTGATTTGTGTGCAGCCGGAATGGACTCCTCTAAGCGGACTTGTGTATTTCTAGGGAATTTTGGCGCCTTGGGATGTATGGCGGGGTCTGCGCTCGCCAGCTTCCGTGTAGGCCCGTCGTGGGCCCTGGGGGGGCCAGAGACCAGGGTGTGCGGGCTCAAGGAGGTGCGGGGGCCGAGGGAGGCCGGGGCGCCTCTCCTTCAATGGAGTGGGCCGCCGATCGCCGGCCACCCAACTTTGGGGGCCCTAGCCAGCGCGGGGTGCCGGGCTCGGGGGGCGCTTCCTGCAGGGTCGGTCCCGCGCCCAACCCTGACATTTGTTAAGACGGCTCATCCCCTCCCCCACCGGCCTCTGCCCCCTGCCCTCACCCTGAACCCCTTCCTCCTCATCCCTCCCTCCCTCTTCTAAGAAGCCTGGATTACGAATCTCTGGACGCAGGACGCATTTGTTCCCGGCTTCCCGGGATTGTCATTTTACACCTTCTCTGGTTTGGTCCCCTACCCCTTATTTACACACACGACTTTTGTTTTTTCTTTTTCGGTAACTCTAGATAGCAATTTGAAATAATGCACCCACTGTTCAGCAGCCGTGGATTCGGTGCTAATGGCCGAGGGCTTGCCGGACGGGAGTCGATCAGATCTACAAGTGTTTTTAAGCATTAAAATATTAACTATCAGGTTTGACTTGTTTTTTTGGGCCCTGGCAAAATGGCAAGGGCATGCTAGACCGGTCATTTTTTTATGGCTAGGGAAGAGAAATAATTATTCCCCCCCTGCCCGGCGCCCAGGCATGCTTGGGAAGCTGGGAGAGCGGTTCGGCTCGACCCCCTTCTCCAGGGCCAGTTCCACCAGGCTGCAGGGGCCGCGCTCTGGGCTTGCAGCTGTAGGGGAGGCACAGTTCGCTTACTTTGTATTTTTCTTGAGAGCTTGTGGGGCATCTTAAACGGGACCGTTCGGCTCAGAATCGCAGTGTTCGCCTACCAATAAACCGGCCCAAGCAACATTCCAAAGAATCCCTGAGAATTTCTGCCTCTCCCCCCCTCCCCCTTCCGATGGAAACCTCCCTGGTATTATTTTAAAATCCACTTAACCATCGGAATATTGAGCTTTGATGGCGGACTTGCTAGCTTTCTTGACTCTTTTTAAACTCCCTGTCTGATGCTGGCAATCTTGCCATTCCTTCTCAAACTTGAGCAGTTGTGTTGTCTTGTAATTAGCAAACAGGGAAATTGTTAAAGGCAAATAAATGATTTCCCGGTGAGAAAAGGAAGGCTCCCAATGATCGGTCCCTTTTGTGGGCATTATAGGAATAGACGGCGTCTAGTTATTTTAATTGTGGACATAGCGGGTGGCCTGGTGCTGTGACATCAGATTGAGTCTCAGAAGACATTTCTGAACTCAGTAGGCAGTTTTAGTACTTACATGTCAAACACCAGCAGACATCTTTGTGTACACTGCCCCTTCCTCCTTCCTCCCTGTTACCTGGGTTAGATTATGTGCTCCAAAATTAAAGTTATTTATTTAGGCTGGTCAGCAGAGCAGTGGAAATGAGGACGGTAGGCTGTTGTATGTCACTCCTGACGTCTTCAATCAGAGGGCCAGCTTGCAATTGCAGATTTGATACAGCTGCGGGAGGAATGGAGGCATCCATAGGCAAGATAGCGGGCTTCCCATGCTCTTCTGAAATTCTTAGTATTTTATAGGGTGTGTTTTTAATGGCAAGGTGTAAAGACAAATTTGCTGTATGCTTTATTATTTTCCCTTTGCTCCTTGGTGGCGGTGATTTTTGCTACATTTTCTGTTACTTATGGTGTACCTGTAAGCAGCTGCATCCTTTAAAAAGCAAACTCTCTGGAACCCTGATTTCTGCTTTTTTATTTAAGAATGTAAAGAATTAGAGAGTATCATTAAATCGGCTTATGATGAATAATACATTATCTCAAGAATAATGCTTTAATTGCTGAAGACACCATAAAGCTTGATAGTAATAATTTTATTTTAAAATGACAAAGATTTCTGCATAATATTAATTTAGTCTTTGATACAGTAATAGGAATGGCTTTTAAAAAGACAGATTCAGATACAAAACTGCATTAAGGAGAGGTCTAGTTAAGTAGATGGGAAGTGTTAGAACTGCAAATATCAGAACTGTGGTAACATTTGTATATTAAAGATAAGAATACTGTAACCTATTAAAGTTGATTGGAAAAAGTAGTTTTACATTTCTTTTTCCCTCCTGGCAAAGGGGAAATAGGAATATGGTGGTTGAAATTCCAGTTAGGTTTGAAATTTCTTTTTAAGGACTTGATTATTCGAGCCCTTGCATCTTCTCTTATCCAAAGTTATTTGCTTTTCAACCGAGCTGTTTGCTACTAGGTTGAACAGATAAATAATCTGCATCTTGAATTCATTTTTGAACTTGGAATCCAGCATTTAAAGGAAACTGAGAGGGGCCTATTCATTGGGGTTTTATTTAGCCGGGCAACTTCTCTTTCTGGCTTGTGAAAAATGGATGTTTTTTCCTCACTGAAACAACATAATCCTTTCTGATACAAAAGATTTAGACCTTGGAGTGTGAAGGGTTAACGGTGGTCCTTCCCAGTTGTCCTCCCACCCCCCCACCTCACCCCTGATTGTTTTGACAACACTTTTCAAAGTGTGACATTCCAAGCCCCTACATAACAATGTAATATTACTGTAATTACACAGGTCATTACATTTTAAATAGAGAACAATAAAATGCTTATCGCCCTGAAAAAGAACAGGTGTTCTTACCCTTCTTTGGTATTTATGCTAATTGTTTTTCATCTCCTTCAGAAATATTTATGGCGAACATGTTTAGATTTCAATCTCAATGTAACCGTATTAATTCCATGCTAATCTTTATAGGTTGGGGTTTAATGTCTGCAGTATGGATTATAGGCTCAACATTCACCCAATAGGTCATATTTTAATGATTATAAATTAAATATGCCAGCGCTTTCCACTTTGTTGATATTGAAACTTTCTGAAACCCCAGAAACAAACTCAGGCATTTGGGAACCTAACGAGCTTATCTGAAAGACGTGTTTTTGGAAACTTTTGCCTGTTTAAGGGAAGGAGCTTTGACTGATGCCCTCTGTGTCTGATTGAGGAAGAATTTTGAGGAAAACAATCCTCGTTCTTGCCAGGAGTTCTTCACCTTGATTTTAATTTTACTGATAGGGATTTCATTTAGAGTCACTGCTGGAAGTTGGTCAGCTTTCTGTTTCTTAGCAAGCTGTGAAAAAGTTACCGGAAGGTTTCCGGGGGCTCGCAGATCAAGAATGCTGTTCTGTTTGCAGTGCTGGATCGCTGCAGTTCTGCACACCATTAAAAAAAAATATTTGCTTTAGAAAACTAGCATTTTAATAGTTGCACCAGAGGCTGTGCTTTTAAAAGATTACAGTAGAAGTCTTTCCAGGTTTTGAATGCCTCCTCACATCCCACAAGGTGCCCCTGGCTGTGTGCAAAAAGTGCCTAGATTTCTCGGTGGAGAAATCCTGGTGCAACTTCTCTCACACACGTGCAGTGGGTAAACTAGAAGGTATCTAAGAGGATTTTACATTTTGTCAGATGTTTCACAACAGGCCCCCCTGAATCACATTAAAAATGCACTGTCGAGAAAGGACAGCTGCAAATTTTTGTGTGGACGCGTGTTTCTGGACCATGACTAAAACTCCGAGGACCTTTCCCCCAGCTGTCTGGAAGTTATGTGGAAGTTGGTTTATTGGCAGTTAAGTATGAGACAACCTGGATTTAGCAAATGCTGTCTCCTGCACAGGAAGTAGATGACATTATATTGGGGGAAGGGAGGAGATTTCAGGCAAGGAGTGATTTACTTTTTTTTTTTTTTTTTTAAATGCCGGAGTTGCCAAATAAATAAGCACTTTCCAGGGAAGTAGGTGTGAGCTTTTTAGTATTGGTGAGTGGCGTTAGATAATATATTTGGCCGCATTTACAATTCTTTTGAGGTGACACATTTCAAAGTTTGGAAAAGGAGGCTGAACCAAATTCTTGAGGGTCTTATTTTCAAAGGGGTGTGGGATGTGGGCATCTGAGTTTCTTCTGGGAGTGAATATGGGCAACCATGTAAGTAAATCTTCAACTC